TCGTGTATTAATCTGGGATCTCTGCCAGGCTGCCACAGTATATCAGGGAAACGATTATTTGTATGGAAAAAACACTGATTAATTATCAGGAAAATTTCTTTATTTACGGATAATTTTATAATCGTTGTAAATTATCAGCCTTAACAAAATAATACCCATGTTCATGGAAAGTTTTTGTGTAATTATCTTAAGTTAAAGGGAATTTAGGATTGTAACTTAGAATGTGTGGGAGGGGGGGATAGGAGGTGGTGGAGGTGATTCAGGGAGGGAGGGTTAGGAAGAGCAGCCGTCAGCCCGTGTAATAACTGGGATATAGTGAGTGTACTAACTTTAATCTGAAACCACAAAGCAAAACTCCTTGGATAAATTCACCAAGCGAGGGAGGGGTGGACGTGGGGGTGGGGGTGTTGGGAAGGAAGGGGAGGGAGTGAGGAGGTCAGCTGTCTCTCACCCCCTCCCCACCTCCCCTTCCCCACCCCTCCCGGAAGAGTGGCAAAACAATATCTAGAGTAAAATAACTAGAGACACTTAAGGTGTAAACTTTTCGGGGGTGTTGGAGGGGAGGGAGAGTTAGGTGTTGGAGAGGGAATTTGTGTGGTGTTGGAGAAAGAGAGGGAGTATGTATGAAGGTAGGTGTTGGAGACAGCGTTGGGGAAGTTGGAGAGAGGGAGAGTGTGTGTGGAGGTAGGTGTTGGAGAGGGAATTTGTGTGGTGTTGGAGAAAGAGAGGGAATATGTATGGAGGTAGGTGTTGGAGACAGAGCGTTGGGGAAGTTGGAGAGAGGGTGTGTTGGAGAGAAAGAGAAGAATGTAGGAAGAAAAGGATGGATAAAAGAAGTGTTAAGAGGTAATTAGAGAAGATCTTTAAAGGCTAAGAATGAAATGAACAAATCAATAATTACGAAAGATAAAAAATTTCAGTTGGGCGTAATTACAATTGAACGAATGAATGAAACAATGAATGAATGAATGAAACAATGAATGAATGAATGAATGAAACAATGAATGAATGAATGATTGAAACAATGAATGAATGAATGAATGAAACAATGAATGAATGAAACAATGAATAGAAACAATGAATGAATGATGTTGAAACAATGAATGAATGAATGATTGAAACTGAATGAATGAATGAAACAATGAATGAATGAAACAATGAATGAATGAAACAATGAATGAATGAATGATTGAAACAATGAATGAATGAATGATTGAAACAATGAATGAATGAATGAAACAATGAATGAATGAATGATTGAAACAATGAATGAATGAAACAATGAATGAATGAATGAAACAATGAATGAATGAATGATTGAAACAATGAATGAATGAATGAAACAATGAATGAATGATTGAAACAATGAATGAATGAATGAAACAATGAATGAATGAATAACAATGAATGAATGAATGATTGAAATGAATGAATGAAACAATGAATGAATGATGAAACAATGAATGAATGAATGATTGAAACAATGAATGAATGAAACAATGAATGAATGAATGAAACAATGAATGAATGAATGAAACAATGAATGAATGAATGAAACAATGAATGAATGAATGAAACAATGAATGAATGAATGAATGAAACAATGAATGAATGAATAATTGAAACGTGAATGAATGAATAAATGAATGAATATAGTAATGAAACAATGAATGAAACAATGAATGATTGAATGAAACAATGAATGATTGAATGAATGAATGAAACAATGAATGAATGAATGAATGAAACAATGAATGATTGAATGAATGAATGAATATATGAATGAAACAATGAATGAATGAATGAAACAATGAATGAATATATGAATGAAACAATGAATGAATGAATGAAACAATGAATGAATGATTGAATGAATGAATGAAACAATGAATGAATGATTGAATGAATGAAACAATGAATGAATGAATGAAACAATGAATGATTGAATGAATGAAACAATGAATGAATGTATGAATGAAACAATGAATGAATGATAGAATGAATGTATGAATGAATGAATGAAACAATGAATGATTGAATGAATAAATGAATGATTGATTGAATGAATGAATGAAACAATGAATGAATGAATGAATTAAATGATGAAATAATGAATGAATGACGAGGAGACAATATCGCTCTTTTTCTTGTATTCCAGTTTAACTTTGGGGTTTGTTGATGTTTTGTGGTGTGTGTGTGTGTGTGTGTGTGTGTGTGTGTGTGTGTGTGTGTGTGTGTGTGTGTGTGTGTGTGTGTGTCATTTACCAGTTGTGTACAGGTGTATTTGGGGGTCAAGGATACCTGTATAATATTCCTCTTGATCATGAGAGAGAGAGAGAGAGAGAGAGAGAGAGAGAGAGAGAACTTATAAAGAGAAAGAAAATTAACCAAATACTGAGAAAGAAAAAACGAAAACTTGTAAAAATACCAGTTCAGGTCTTAAACAAGTCTTATTCAGGTAGGAAAACAAGGTGGTAAAATATTAGGTCAAAAAGAACATTAATTTTTACCCCTTTAGTAATGAGAAGTAAATATGGCGTCTTTAGCTGGATTAATCTATATATTTATTTATTTATTTATTTTTTAACCTTAGCGGACGTCACACTGGACCACTCAAAACATACACACTCAAAACATACACTCAAAACATACACACTCGAACACCCTAAAACATACACATATATATACGAGAAATACTGAAATATACAGACATACACGCAAGGATTGTGAGAAAAATACAGGTTACAGGTTGGTGTATTTCCTAGACAGAATGGCTTAACTAACTGTAACCGACGCAGAAATACAGGAACACACACACACACACACACACACACACACACACACACACACACACACACACACACTGCGAAAAATATAGTCTATCTCTTTTCTTGAGCGAGAGAGAAAAGTGGTTGAAATATACAACCTTCTGTAATCCTCGCAGAAATACAGAAATATACACACTGGAGCACTTTGTGAAACAGAGGCTATACACATGCAGTATATTTCGTCCCTGAGAGGATATCATACAAGGGTTGAAATGTATGACTTGCTGTAACCCCTTTTGGAAATACAGAACCATACTCTAACATACACGTATGGTGGAAATATACACAGAATATATTCCTTTCTCATACACACAGAATATATTTCTTTCTAGAGTGGTTGAAGTAATCGACTCAAGTATACATATTTGCGTATTACTTCGATAAAACATAGAAAAATACGCATTCCAATAATCATGATACGCTGAAACATAACCCAACATACACACGACGCTGAAACATATCCAACATACACACGACACTGAAACATACACACGGAGTATATTTCATCCTTGAGAGGTTGACAAGAGAGGGCCCGGGTATACACACGCTCTTATGTCAGTCGCCAGTACAAAATACACCAACACTTAACATACAAACTGACTCATATTTATCTGTTAAGAGAGCGGCACCCTGGCGTGTTGTGTCCCCCCTCCCTCCCTCTCCTCCTCCCTCCTCCTCCTCCCTCCTATCTTCTCTCCTCCCCTTCCTCCCCCTCTCCTCCTCCTCCCTCTCCTCCTCCCTCTCCTCCCTCCTCCCTCCTAGGTTGTGTCCTCTCCCCCAGCATCGTCTCCTTCAGGTTGTGTTTCCTCCCCAGGTTGTATCTTCCTCCTCTCACCTCCCCAGATTATCTCCCCAGCCACGCCTCCCCACATTATCTCCCCAGCCACGCCTCCCCACATTATCTCCCCAGCCGCCTCCCCACATTATCTCCCCAGTCACGCCTCCCCAGATTATCTCCCAGCAACGACTCCCTCCTCCCCAGATTGTGTGGTAGGCAGCTCCCAAGGGTGGTGTTGAGACAGCACCACTACCACAGGTCAGACCCTCTAGTGGCTCCACCGAGAACTATATCTGAGGGTGTCTGTGCCCGAGGCACAGAGAGAGAGAGAGAGAGAGAGAGAGAGAGAGAGAGAGAGAGAGAGAGAGAGAGAGAGAGAGAGAGAGAGAGAGAGAGAGAGAGAGAGAGAGTTATCACTGTTTTAAACCTGAGTAATAATTCGGATCATTAGTGAAAGCGACAGACAGACAGACAGACAGGCAGTGTGACCAACAGCAATTGTACGTCAAGACAACAGTTTATACCACCAGCACTACTGACAGCCATGTGTTGAAATTGACAGAGGGAGATAAGACAGACAGCCACATAAACAGATATCCAGACAACCAAATAGACAGACAGACAACCACACACAAACAAACAAACACAAAGTTGATCCCTGTTTACTAGACAACAATTCCACACCATTATACCCAACAACGACAAGCACCCCCTCCTCCCTTCCTCCCTCCCCCTCCTCCTCCCCTCTCCTCAAAGAAAGTAAAAATGAAGAAAAAGTTGAAGGCTCAGTGGCGCATAATCAAAGAGTTGTCACCTAGTGTGTGGGGGAGGAAGGGAGGCAGCGAGAGTGGTAATGAAACGACACATTATGGTCTAACTTTTCTCCAATCTGACGGGGAGCGGGTGACGATGGAACGTGCCGTGACTGGGAAGGGTGTCCAATGAGGAACTGCCGGGTTAAACCACCACCACCACCACCTTTATCGTCATTACTACTCCTACTACTACTACTACCGCTACCTCCTCTTCATTCTCTACCACACACTACCACTACTCCTACTATTACTAATACTACCACTACCTCCAACCTAACCTACCACCACCACCACCACCACTATCTCGACTACCACCACCTCCTCCACCTCCACCCTGACCTAACCTACCCCCACCCCCTTAGTTGCTGTTGGCTTCCTTCTTCCCTTACACACACACACACACACACACTCACACACACACTCACACACACACACACACACACTCACACACACACACACACACACACACACACACACACACACACACACACACACACACCTCTCATAGGGGACGAAGCTAGAGATGAGTCAGGGGAAGGAGGGGGAGGGAGAGAGGAGAGAGAGAGAGAGAGAGAGAGAGAGACGGAGAGAAAGAGGGTTGGAAAGAATGACAGCCATAGAGATAGAGATTTACAGACACACAGAATAGAGACAAAGAGAGTGCAGAGAATTAAAGAGAGAGAGAGAGAGAGAGAGAGAGAGAGAGAGAGAGAGAGAGAGAGAGAGAGAGAGAGAGAGAGAGAGAGAGAGTAGGAAGGATATAAAACGAAAAAGAAAGATGGAGTGGAGAGGGAAGACGAGGAGGAGTAGGAGGAAGAGGAAGGATGTGTTTGTATCCTGCAGGACGTCACTTTCTCTCCTACTGTCATCTGCGTTCGACTTACGACCTTACGACCCTTAAGGAACGACCTGTTGTTAGTATCCTTGAAAACCCTTACGTCTTTTTTGGGCTTGGAAGAGTCTCAGGTTAATTTAAACGCCATTTTGACGTCACTTTGCGTCATAACACAACATATAAGTCGGGGCGATTCAGAGAGATTCATGGGTCGTATTGAACTGCCTGACTAAGAAGGTCGAGTCTCGAGGCACTGATGGCGCCATTTTGACGCCTTGTTTGTGGTGAACTGGTGCGTGTGTGTGTTCAGTTAAAGGGACGGTATGGTGATCGAGAGAGAGAGAGAGAGAGAGAGAGAGAGAGAGAGAGAGAGAGAGAGAGAGAGAGAGAGAGAGAGAGAGAGAGAGAGAGAGAGAGAGAGAGAGAGAGAGAGAGAGAGAGAGAGAGAGAGAGAGAGAGAGAGAGAGCAACGTTGCTGTGGAGGGGAGGGAGAAAGAGAGACCGAGCAATATTGGCGTGAGGGGAGATGAGGGGTAAGGGGAGAGAAGTATGGCTGATAGCTGGGACTGGGTGACTTACATCTCCTGTTGACCCCTCACTCATCTTCCTCTAGTGAGGGGAGAGGAGGAGCCGAGGGGAAAGAGAAGGGAGTGGATGAAATGAAGGAGAGATATACAATGGGGAGGTGAGGGGGGAAATGAAAGAGGGGAAATAGGGGGAGAAAGAAGATAAAAGAGGAATAAAAAGGGAGATACCTAAAAGAGAATCATAATAAAGAGGGGAAGAGGAATAAGTGGAAAAGAGGATGAAGGTTAGAGGGGAGAACAGGAAAGTGATAAATCAGAGGGAAGGAGGAGATGGAAAAGAAGGAATAGAGGTGGAGGGAGAAGGATTTTAGAGGAGGGAAAGAGATCTGAGGGAATAATAGTAAGAGGGGAAGGAGAGGGGAAAGAGTGAGCGAGAGGAAGAGAAGATCTAGGAGAGGGAAATAACATAAACGCGACGACCAGCACCCAGGGTGTTTAGAGGAGAGGGGGAGGAGGAGGGGCCAGTGAGGGGTTGAAGGTTGGTGATAGTACTGTGTGTGTGTTTGTGTTTGTGTGTTTGTGTTTATTTGTGTGTTTGATTATGTGTGTGTGTGTGAAATGTGATCTCTACAGCGTGTTTGAACCAGAGAATTAGTGTAATACAAAACTCTGAACTTAGATACACACACACACTCCACACACCCACACACCCACACACACACACTCCACACACACCCACACACCCACACACACACACACACCCACACACACACACACACACCACACACACACACACACACCCCACACTCACACACACACCACCCACCCACCCACCCATGATGTGACTATTGTACTTGCACCACCTAATACATTTCTACTCACACTGGCGTCAGGTTACAGAAGAGTTAATAACAGGCTGTGAATTACCTGATGCTGGAGGTGGTATTAATTTATGATTGAGGAGGTTGGGTAGGTTGGGAGGTAGGTTGGGAGGTAGGATGGGAGGTAGGTTGGGAGGTTGGATGGCAGGGTTGGGAGGTAGGGTGGGAGGAGGATGGGAGGTAGGATGGCGGTAGGTTGGGAGGTAGGATGGTAGGTTGGGAGGTCGGATGGGAGGTAGGGATGGTAGGTTGGGAGGTAGGATGGTAGGTTGGGAGGTAGGATGGTAGGCTGGGAGGTAGGATGGGGAGGTAGTGGTAGTTGGAGGTAGGGATGGTAGTTGGGGAGGTCGGATATGGGAGGTAGGGATGGTAGGTTGGGGAGGTGGGATGGTAGGTTGGGAACAGGACTCAGATGCTATGACGACATGACCTTATATCGTGATGCCATGACCTGCCATACCTGGACTATATCGTGATGCCATAGACTTGCTGGCAAGAGATCATGCAACGTGACGTGACCTGCTATTGAAGACCTGCCATAACGTGACATGACCTATGTGATGCCAAGGACTAAAATGCCATGACCACATGCAACGACGCTAATCTGCCATCGTGATGTTAACTCAGCTATCCAAGACTTTGCCAGATTCAGTGTATGACCTGCCATGTCAAAGATGCCATGACCAGACGCTAAGACCTGCCAAGCATCCATTTATTTTATTCTGTTGACCTGCCATGCACCGTGACATGACTATAACGAGATGTGATCTGCTATAACAAGATGCTATGGACTAGATGCTATGACGCAAGAGGCCCAGATGCTATGACCACATAACGACTATACCCAAGATGCTAAGATTGCAGCCGGTTTGACTAAGGCCTGACTTAAGCAGGTCAGACAGACCAGGTCAGATGCTATGGATTACAGGGCCGATGCTATGACGTGATGCAAGGACGTGTTATAGGTCAGACAGGACTACAGGCCGGACTTAGCAGGTCATGACCCAAGGACCAACCCCAGCAACGACTCTGCCAGGCCCGTGATGCCATGGACCATAACGATGACCTGCCAGACTTGCTATATCAGACGCTAAGGACCAGATGCTATGACCCATCCAAAGAGCAGTGACCATATCCGTGATGCTGAGATCCAGGCCAAAGATCTGCTATGACTACAGGTCAGATGCGAGGACTTAGATGTGATGCAGTGACTTGCTATAACCGATGCTAACAAGATGCTAGTGATCCAAAATCAGATGCTATATACAAAGACGACAGGACGTTATATCTGATATGAGGACGGTCAGATGGATTGCAGCTGAGCAGGACGATGCAAGACGTGACAGCAGGATTTGCCAGGTCAGATGTTATGACGGTGCAAGATTTATGTTAGGACAGAAGTGGGAGGTAGGATGGTAGGTTGGGATGTAGGGTGGTATGTTGGTTGTGGTAGGAACTCAGACTCTCTAGTTGGGTTGGAGGTAGGTCAATCAGGCTGGCGAGTTGGGTTGGAGGTAGGTCGACAGGCTAGCTAGTTGGCTGGAGGTAGGTCGACAGGTGGCTATGGGTTGGAGGTAGGTCGACAGGCTAGCTGATGGGTTGGAGGTAGGTCGACAGGCTAGCTAGTTGGTTGGAGGTAGGTCGACAGGCAAAAAGTGGAGAAAAATCGACTTTTTCCTGAGTAAAATCAGTACCCAGTGGCCGTATGTCATATAACAGGGCGGTTGTTTAGTCTTATTGAGTGAGAGCTCTCTCTCTCTCTCTCTCTCTCCCATTCCACATCCTCTCTCTCCCTCTCCATCTTTCCTTCCTCCTCCATTCCACATTTACTTTCCATTTTGTTTTACATAAACATTCAGCTTGTTAGACAATCAGCTGTTCACACCTAGTAACATACATTACAGCTCTTCATGTAATATGTTTCTCTCCCACTGTATTCTGGCTTGTGTTTTGTATTCCCTGTCCATTCACCTACACTTATTGAATTCTTTTATGTGTATTTTGTATTCCTTGTTCAGTTATCGACACTCGCTATATTCTTGCCCCTGTATTTTGTATTCTACCCAGTTAAGTATGTGCTGTATTTTGTATTCCACCCAGTTAAGTATCTACTCTATTTTGTATTCCACCCAGTTTATTATCTACTCTATTTTGTATTCCACCTAAATATCTACTCTATTTTGTATTCCACCCAGTTAAGTATCTACTCTATTTTGTATTCCACCCAGTTTATTATCTACTCTATTTTGTCTTCCTCACCCAGTTACCTGCACTCACTGTATTCTCACTTGTGTTTTTGTGTGTTGAGTTACCCCAATGGTCTTCACACCTGTTTACCGTCTTGTACAATAAACTTTACAGCATCTGGTTTACCTCTCAAGGTGTACCTGTCCTGTGGGAGGAGACGACCTAACACAACGACTCTTTTGTTGTTGTTCAGTCCCTTACACCTCCAGCCCCTCTCAGCCCCTCTCCAGTCCCCCAGCCCTCCCACACCCCCTCCGTCCTCCCAAGCACCTCCAGTCCTCCTCCAACCCCAGCCCCCAGCCCTCCTCCAGCCCCCAGCCCTCCTACACCCCAGCCCTCCACCACCTCCCACCACCCGTCCTCCACCTCAACCACCACGACTCATCCTCCACCAACTCACTTCCACCACCGTCCCACATCCACCATCACCCCCACCACCAACACCCCACCCACCCAACACCACCCCCACCAACACCACCCCCACCAACACCACCCCCACCAACACCACCCCACCAACCCACCCCAAACCAACCCACCACCACCACCAACACCACCACCAACAACACCACCACCAACACCACCACCACCCACCACCACCAACACCACCACCAACACCACCACCAACACCACCCCACCACCAACACCACCCCAACAACACCACCCCACCACCAACACCACCCCACCACCAACACCACCCCCACCACCAACACCACCCCCACCACCAACACCACCCCACCACCAACACCACCCCCACCACCAACACCACCCCACCACCAACACCACCCCACCACCAACACCACCCCAACCACCAACACCACCCCCACCACCAACACCACCCCCACCACCAACACCACCCCCACCACCAACACCACACCACCAACCCCCACCACCAACACCACCCCACCACCAACACCCCCCACCAACACACCCACCACCACCCCACCACCAACTCCCACCAATCACCACCAACTCCACCACCCCACCACCATCCACCACCCCACCACCAACCTCCAACACACCACCAACCCACCACCCACCACCAACTCCACCACCCCCACCACCAACTCCACCACCTCCACCACCAACTCCACCACCCCACCACAACCCACCACTCCACCAACACCACCCCAACCCAACACCAACACCACCGCCACCCCCACCCCCCACCCCAACACCACCCCCACCCCCAACACCACCCCACCCCCAACACCACCCCCACCAAACAACAACTCCCCACCACCAACACCACCCCCACCACCAACACCACCCCCACCACCAACACCACCCCCACCACCAACACCACCCCCACCACCAACACCACCCCCACCACCAACACCACCCCCACCACCAACACCACCCCAACACCACCACCCCACCATAACCCACCACCACCCACCACCAACCCACCACCACCCCACCACCAACTCCAACACCCCCACCACCACCCACCAACACCACCCCCCACCAACACCACCCCACCACCAACACCTCCCCACCACCAACACCACCCCACCACCAACACCACCCCACCCACCAACACCACCCCCACCACCAACACCACCCCCACCACCAACACCACCCCACCACCACCCCACCACCAACACCACCCCCACCACCAACACCACCACCCCCACCCCCACCCACCAACACCACCCCCACCACCAACACCACCCCACCAACACCACCATTCCACCAACAACTCCACCCCACCCCCACCACCAACTCCACCCCACCACCACCAACACCACCCCCACCCCACCACCACCCCCACCACCAACACACCACCCCCACCACCAACACCACCCCCCACCA